CGAAATCTGAAAAACTTTTTAGCAGATTCAGTTATAGATGGTAACTTATCCAGTTCTATAGTCACCACCAATAAGGCAATGAATTCGTACATGGTATACTCACTGTAAGAGAATTTAGAATGTCTTATTTTAAAAAATGTTTTTAATCAATCCAAGTTCATTTTTAGAGTGCTCCTTGTACAGCTGCATATACTAGATGAAAATATTTCATCACAATTTATAAAATTATCATCAGTAATGCCTCTACCCCTGTTAGAATGTTATTAAATTCTCAATTTCATGCTGAATTTTAATCCGTTTGTATAATCTGAGCATAAATAAGAAGGGAATTTACTCAATCTGTTGAAAAGCCACTGAAAATGGCCACAAAGACACATAAACATTCTAGTAAGAATATGACTTCAGCAGAGAATATTGCCAAATGATATAATGTTCATTTAAAGCTGTTAATATTGTTATCACTACTCCCAGGTAAAGAGCTGAAAAATCTGACTCTACCTGGGTAAAAATGTGAATATCTTGTTTGCAAATGCAAATGTATATAATTCATTAACACTGCTCACAGTTTGCAACTTACCTAGTAATATATTACTTTACATTTCATAGATTTATTGGAAAATCCCTCTAGAAGAGGCAAAGAATATAGATACATATGTTCATTCTTAGTTATGATTGCTGGTATCAGATTACATTCTCCTGAGATTATACAAATCACCAGAAAGAAAAAAGGGAGATATCCATTTTGGGGGACCTACTATGTGCTTCCTCTGTTCTGTCATTTGTCTGATTTAATCCACCTTAAAATATGACAAAATTTCTGGGTCGTTTGTTTAGAAACTAATCATAGAAAGTAATCATCTGATCTTAAATGATCTCAGTGAGTTAAATGGCATTTAATTTTTATAAAGGGGATTAAAATCTACTTCAACCACATATGAAGAATGCCCAAAACTTGGGGCAGCTGGGTGGATCAGTCGGTTAAGTGTCTGACTTGATTTTGGCTCAGGTCATGAACTCATGGTTTGTGGGATCAAGCCCTGCATCAGGCTGACAGCTCAGAGCCTCTCCCTTTCTCTCTGCCTCTCCCCTGCATGCATGCATCCTCTATCACTCTAAATAATAAACCTCAAAACAAAACAAAAAAAAGAATGTCCAACTATGAGTCAGTAATGATTGGTTTAAAAGCTTTTAATTCAGGTGTAGGTAAGATTTTCTGAAAGACAGAAACTATAATTTAACCTTCAGAGGCTTTTGGAAAACACACTGTAGGGTTTCTTGCTCAAAGTTTTAGAGAACATCAAACACATCAAAGTGATAGAACATTTCTTTCAGAGGTCTGAGAAATGTCTCTCATTTAAGACTGCCTGTGGACTTAACACATTTTTGCCATGTTTTTATAGGAATAGCATAATGATTTCATGATTAACAGTAGCTCAAAGACAGTAATCAGGTACGATCACTTCTAAAAAAATAACACAAGGATATTTGCTCGAGAAACTGCTAAGATTTTGACCTTCTAGGAGAGACTGGAAGAAACCTTAGAATAATAATCAGAATAAAACGTTAAAGTGATATTTGAATACATAAGAATTCTTTAAAAGAATACATAAGAATCCCTTAAAATGCACAATGACTGGGCAAAAACATGTTTTTGGGATTTTATTTACAATAATTGTATTTCCCCATATTATCTGAATAGGTTTTATAAAAATCTATTAAACCAAAGTAAAGCTCTCATAATTAGAGGGTTATGCATAGTTGATGCATAAAAGAAATTTTATGCATAATGAATAATGAAAGTAGGGAATTTAAATGACAGACATGGTCTTTCTTTTGAAGAGCTATTTCTCAGAACTGAGGCATCTTGGTTAAAATGACAGCTAAAACTTATAAATTCAGAAGTCTCAACAAAAACTGAGTATATCAATAATTCAAAAACAAAATCACCTTATACATTATCTATAAAAGTGTTAATCTCATCTTCAACAAACACACTAACAAGCATAACAAGGTACAGTTGAACAGATTATATTCTCTTGAGGAGAAAACACTAAAAATAGACACAATTCTGAAGCATTTCCTTGCGTGATGTCAAAAAAGAAAAAAATAAATATAAGAAAAGATGTCAATTTACCTTGTCTTGGAGATTTTGCATATGTTTTGACACAACAAAAAAAATACACATATACTGGAAGAAGTGGTCCTTGAATTGACAGAAAATCTGTCACCAACAGAATGAATCCATTTCAGCATGCAAGTGACTTTAAAAAGACAGTTGGAAAGCCATCTTAAAAAAGTGATGGATTGAGGTTCAGATTGAAGATTACACCCTGATCCATGTAAAAAAATGTTTTATTTTATCTTTCTAAAGAAATTTGCCATTGGCAATCCTTTCATGTGGATATTTCTAGAATCTACTAGCTTGTCTGAGCTACTTAGGAGGTATAAAATATTTTATCCTATTCCACATGGCATTATGACTTAAGATAATATTAGCTAAATCCAGTTAAAAATATTATACAGCAACAAAGAACCAGTTTAATTTGCCATTGGAAGAAAGTTTTTCCATGGTTTCTTCAAGAACTTGAAAATGTCTTAAAGTCCATGTATTATGAAAATTTATTTCCTATATTATAAAGACTAGATCTTTAACATAAAATTTTAGATTTTTTTTCAAATATTATTTTACAATTTGAGTATCTTACCAGTTGGGGACCAACATTATATGCTGTGTAGGTCCAAATCAATAAATTGAATTATACTTTGAACTATTCACTTATCCATTTATTCATTCATTCAGCAAATATTTATTGAATACCTGTCATGTATCAGGTGTTGTAACAGGTATTCAGTTTGGTACTGGACAACTAGTTGAGAAAGTCAAAGAAGGCAAATATTGTTTCATCCCTCCTAGAGCGAACAATCTAACATGAAAACCCAATTTCCAATGTAGTGTGATAATGAACAGTGAGAGAATTACTAAGGACACAGCAGTATTCAGGAGAGAGCCTAAGCCAGATATGGGATGGGATGGAGCTTGTAGTAGCAAAGCCTTGCCAGAGGAAAGTGCATCCAAACTGCAGCTGAAAGATATAAGCCACACAAGGCAGGGAATTCTAAGGATAGAGACGTTCTTTCCATTACTTTCCCCTAGGAAGAAGACACGTATAAAGGAATTGGAAGAGAGAACATTTGGTTTGAGAAACTGAAACAAATTTAGAAGAGTGTGGTCAGAGATGAAATGGGACCAAATCATGTGAAGACTTCCAGGCTATACTAAGAAATCCGCACTTTATTCCAAGGCTGATGGGGAGCAACTGAAGGGTTTTAGAAAGAGGGTAAGAGAATCATATTCTCATTTTAGGAAAAAAAAATCACACTGGTTACAATTTGAGATTTTTAGAGAGTTGATACCAAACTCTGGTGAGGAGGCTTCTGCAAGACCCAGGTGAAGCAGTGATAGCCTAGATCAGGGAGCTGGCAGTGGGGATGGTGAGAAGGGAAATATAGTGTGTGTGTGTGTGTGTGTGTGTGTGTGTGTGTGTGTGTGTGTCTACACATACACCTACCTTCAAAAAGCTCATAAAGCATTAAAAGGAGAAAAACACACATAATTATCCTTAATACGTAGTAGCTAATGAAAGAGCTCAACAAAGTTCCAGATCAATAAATATCCAGATAGAATAGTAGAGGGAAATAAAGAGAAGAGTGACTATTTCTACAGAAAAGATTCTACTGGATATTCCGGATGACTTAGAACAGACTCAGGTGTGGCAAATCTGGTTCCATGAGGAGTGACATTTGGTGCTATTATAATTGTTTTTGTGATTTTCAAAAACGCAATGAATTACCACAGTTTTGAAACTCATGGATACAGCATAAAAATCAATAAGAATAGAACTCTTATCTTTGAAATAAAATGACCTCATTATGGAATTAAGCTGTCTTACTTTTCTTTGCCACAGAAGACATTAACAAATTTGTGCCTACTTAAAAGTACTCCACGATAAATGCATTTCAAAAAGATTGTTTTTAAAAAGCACTGACTATAACTGCACTTCATTTGCAAATGATAAACAGACTGCAGCATCTATGCTTCCCTTCTATAAGCAAGATCTCTTATCAGAATGTAATCAAATTGCTCCATTGCTTAGCAACCACAGGTAAAGAGCTAATAAGTCAGGAGTCATGATTCTGTGGGAACAATCTGCAGGTCAATAGCATGATTTCAAGGTGGTCTGCCATCCTGCTGTGACACTTTCAAACCCATACTGACAGGAAGCATTAGAATAGAGGAGAGTTAAAATGCAAATGCTCTCATAATCGATTGAATTGACCTATCCATATTGTGATCTGGTCCAATCTGCTGCATCTATAAATCAACATCACAGCAAAAAGAGCACCACAATATGGCTTCTAAGGAATTTCTGTTTTACCAATTTTAGGTAAGCCAAAGAGGAAGGCACACGTAAATTAGAATGAAGGCAAGGACTCCAACATTCATGCCACCAACAGGAAATCTAAGGAAGAGGAGCAGTGGCTGGTTGAAACGGTTTTTGGAAAATATTACTGAGAGGCTAAGAGAAAAATTACCAGGTATACTCACAACTGCAAAGAAAAGATCTTTCCCCTCTCCCCGCCATTCCCGAATCCAGCCAGGGCACGCCCGGTTGTAGTCTGACATAAAGGCGGGAACCAATCAAGTTCTGCTGAATGGTTTGAAATAAAGGCGGGAACCAATCGAGTTCTGCTGAGTGTTCAAATTTAAATGTCAACCAATAACAGCTCTGTAACCTCAAAAAAATCCCTAACTTGTTTGTGCCTGTCTATAAAAGAAGCTGTAAGATCCTTGCTGGGGGCCTCTTAGTGTCACCGGCAACGAGTGCACGGAGGACCGGGGTCGAACCTGCAATAAACGACCCTTGCCGCTTGGCTTTGACTCTGGACTCTGGTGGTTTGTTTTGGGGGGGGGGGACTCTCGAATCGGGGCATATCATTACCTGTAACCATTGCGACTGGTCATTGTGGCCAGAGGTCCAGGCATTCACTTTGCCCTGTTTGTCCAGCCGAGCTTTCCTTGGTTCCCAGGTGAACATGTCCATGTTGAGAGTCCTGAAGATGCTGGAGGCGGTGATCTGATAGTCTTGTATGTGTCCTGATTTCATCCCCAGAGGCTCTGAACAGCCTGAAAGAAAATGAGAAGGTCTCCATGAGAAAAACAATGGATGACCCTGCAAGTTTTCTACGTTCATTTTGCAGAGGCAAGAGAAGATTGAGCTTAATGCTATTCATTTCCCCAAAGAGAAAGCATCTAAATCCAAAAAAAGGCTATAATCAGAACTAAATCTGGAAAAAAAATCGAAACACAAGATAGCCAATTCAGACTATTTTGTCGGAATATATTTTGGAAAAATTGAAAACAAGACAGATAATTCAAACCGCTTTTCGGTGATAGATGATTTTGCAAAATGAAAACAAGGCTGAAATGCCTTTTCCTGTCTCATTACTGATAGCCTCATGACTATTCCCGTGTTTTCAACAGTTTCATTGTACCTTTAAAAAAGAACATTTTCTCACAAAATATATTTGGTTTTCTTTTATTTGTTTCCATAATGCTGCAAATGAAAATTCCCTCAGTACTAAGTCATTTTCACAAACTGCTCCAAAGGTATATTTCAAACTGGACAGTATTTTGTTTTCTAAGAAATGTCTGTTAATCTTTGTCACTGATTCCTATAGCACCAACATGGCTTCTTCTGGATGTTGAGGAAGCTTATATTTACTCCATGTATACCATGTGTCAGGCACTGTGCAAGTATAGAATTTAAAGTAATAGATAATAGAAGAAAATAAGCTGATTCTAGCAAAAATCATTCCTGAACAAGTCTTATTATAAAAACTGCATTTTGGTCATACTCAGTAGCCTCTAGTTTTGGATATTTTTTTTTCAACGTTTATTTATTTTTTGGGGGGACAGAGAGAGACAGAGCATGAACGGGGGAGGGGCAGAGAGAGAGGGAGACACAGAATCGGAAACAGGCTCCAGGCTCTGAGCCATCAGCCCAGAGCCTGACGCGGGGCTCGAACTCACGGACCGCGAGATCGTGACCTGGCTGAAGTCGGACGCTTAACCTACTGTGCTACCCAGGCGCCCCTAGTTTTGGATATTTTTGAAAGATTTTCAGATCTGGCACATATATCTTCAGGTATGACATGGTGTAAAATTTGGGTTTGTCTGTTACTAGGAAATTGTGTGTGCGCACACACACACACACACACACACACAATTTCTCAAGGAAATGTACACACCATTTCCCAATCTTGAATTGCAACTGTGACAAAATTCCATTCACAAAGCTCATAATAGGAAGCACGATTCTCTTATCATATTAGCAAATATTCCATATGTATAATTATAACATTCTGACCGAGAAACACATAAGTTTGATCTTCAAGAAAGCCAAGATAAAAAAGAGGACTTCTCTAATCAAGGCCTCCATCTCTGTGTAATCTACTGCTTCCCCACTTGCTCTCTGTATGGCCTTTTACCTATTATTTAACTACTTTATGCCTTAGTTTTTTCATCTGTAAAATGGTAGTAATATAGAAACTACCTCAAAAAGTGTTCTAAGAAATTAGTTAATAAATATAAAGTATTTAGAAACAGTAGGCATATAGCTAACATTCAGTAAATGTTAGCTGTTTTTATTATTTCCCTAAAGCTAATTCCAACAGATAACAACGTTAAGTCCCCAAATCAGCACAGCAGTGAGTACTAAATAATGGACAAGGATTGGTTGCATTTCCTGAAACTAGGCCATTTTAAGTCTAAGGCTTTAAGAGAGGGGGCTTAGCACTCCTCATTGATAAATAGTTCTTAATTACAACCCATTGCTTTCTGCTCTACTCAACCTAGATCACTTCCTTCTTGAGGCTCCTCCATGTTTGCCTTCACCTCCACCTTCTAAGAAATGCCTTTCCCATGCAAACGTGGCAAAAACTCACATGAAGGATTAGCCACTTGTGTGCCTAACACAAGTCTTGTTGGGTTTTAGGTGTAACAGATCTAGACCCTAAGTCTCAGGATAAAAATAGCTCCAAATTCTAAATATTAGTTTTGGAGGAGAAAAATTTCATGACAAATCTCAAAGATTCTAGAAAGTTCCAAAGTCTTAATGACAAGCCATTTGTCTTCAGGCCATTTGAGGGTACCATGCCTTGCCTGCATTACAGATTTCTGACTTTTTTATTATGACCACCAACTCCCCCACAGCCACTCTGCCCTGATACTAGAGTCTTCATAAAACTCTTGGCTTGCAGAAAGATACAAGGGGAAAGGTAGTTGTTTTTCTCATTTTGTGATATAATATTTAAAGTCTCAGATGGAAAAGGGATGCTTTTACTCTGGTCATTTCTGCTTAGTCATAGAATTCATTTCGTATCTACTCTGTTGTCTAGTATCTAGCCCAGAGTAAGTGCTGAATAATTTGTTCAAAGAATGGATGAATGAATGAGTTTCTCCTCTAATTATAGTCATGATTCATTTCATTCTAACCATCTTAAATCATATCTCTTTCAGAGAATTTAGGGGATTTTCTTTTTCAAGTGTCTGGGAAAAGATTATTGATCTTGTAGGCAAGCTGAGAGATCTCCTAACAGTTTATTGGGTACAAAAAGGAAGCCTTGTGCTTTACAGTGTTGCAGTGGATTGTGGCAAATAGTTTGGACCATTATATTACTGTTTATTTCCAAGTGTTAGAGCTAATCTCCCTGCCAATTTGCCTCACACTACAAAATTTCCTTCTCATCCACATGATTTCACATATATAGATTAATTAACACTTTGACCAGAATGGATGGCACCTGAACAAAATGAAGCATTAACAAAGACATTGATTATCTCTATAGTGAAGTGCCCTAGCTTTTAAAAGCATCCATTGAAAGATAGTATCCTCCGCTTGCAAGTTTGAAGTCAATTTGTGGGGTGGGGAGATGGGGTTTGGCTTCTTTTTAAGAACATAAAGTCTGTAACGCATCAGGTGTAGACTCCTATAAAAACTGAAAGTCACATATATTTATACGTTGGGGGTTTAACTGTGCCATCTAAGAGACACTGACCCTCATGAATCAAGAGACTGGAAAACTGGAGAAGGTGATTGTTAAACAACAAAAAACCATGGGGCTTGGCTTCTTCTTGATTGCTTTATGATGAATGACTTAGGGATGACATTGGCTTGTGATGATAGAGTGACATGTAATATAAACACTACACAGCAATTATTCTGTTGAGATTTCTGGCAGTCAATAAGCTGGTTTGAATTACCAAAATAAAGAAAACATCACTGTTAGGATAATTAATAGAACTAAAACCGTATGTTGGTTGCTTTATAAGGGACATCCATATATAGTATGAAAATGTAATTCTTAAAATAGATTCACTCATCCGGCCAAATGTCTCTAATTCCTTTAAGTGTAGTGGGTTCAGTTAAAGTTTGGCTGTTTTTAATAATAACTTTTATTTGCTTAAAAAAATCATTCCTTTTCTCCATATCACAAATAAACCTAAGAAGGGAAACAGATATAAAGCATATGTTTTAACGTCCGTGCAACCTTTTGAAATGAATAAAAAGCTCTCAGTTGTCCATTTGGAAAGATGTATCCTCCTATTTTTGACTTAGTGGCATTATTGTAAGTTTGATAAAGTCTTTCATGCTAAAAAGTAGGGCAAATGTGAATTTTTGATTTGGCTTTCTACAAAACAGTTGTTTGAACAAAATAATCTCAGGCCATAGTGGCAAAGGTCATTTTTAAATGTTGATGCTAGAAATACAAAGAACAACTACCCAAAATACAGCACAGTGATATGCCTAGGCAAGGTTTTCTGTTTAGCTCAGAATCTAGCTATATTGAAATGGGACCACTGTGAGATCTACACATTAAGTCTTCATCTTTGTATCTAGTACTGATGCTCCTGGAAGACAAGAATTATTTAACTCTGAGTCCTTTGATAGATTTATCTTTGAGCTGGATAATCACTGTTTGTACAATAAGCAGGTTGCTAGATAAGAATGATAAAGAATGAATTTATAGTAGCTATCTTATTTGTGAAGTATTATCTCCCTGGGAGGAATGATAAATTTACATGTTTCATAAAACCTAAACAAAACAAAATAAAACCAAGTTCTTATGGTGGATGGACAAAGATAAAGCTTACTTTTCTATGCCATAGAGCCTCAGCATAACTGCAATTTATGAGGTCAGGCAGATTCCAGTTTATACTGAACTTTCATCACAAAACATAAATCATAGTTACTACTAAACACAGGACACATTTAAATTTGACAAAAGTTTCCAGTGAGAATTGTTGTACTTTCTTCCACCAAAGAAATACACTGCTCCTTCTACATTAATTTCATTCTGTAGCAAGTTTTAGAACTTGTTGATGCTACATGCACGCGAGCATGCACACACACACACACACACACACACACACACACACGCGCACACGCGCAGTTTCTAAATGACATCTAGACATTTTGTAGCAAAAATGAATGTTCATGAGTGTTGGGAAATAGAAAATTAGTAACAGACTACATACAAATGTGTGGGTTTTTTTTCTTTACAGAAAATACAGAAAAAGAAATTTGAGACTCACCGGATAGTTCACATCCAAGAAGTTCCATTCTCAAAGTGCAATGTCTTCTACAAACTTGGGGATAGAGTCTTACATACTGAGCTTTTATGGGAGGTGTGAAAGAGTTAGCATAGGGTGTGTTGTTATCAACATTTCCACGAAACACCTGTATAAAGAGATAATATAGAGTTTAAAATGATTGACTACAGCAGCTTCTTTTCCTATTTTCAAATACTGACCCTTTATCCTACCCAATGTAATCTTTCAAAAACTGGATTAAGTAATTTGGGGATCTGAAGCATTTAGGAATCACCTTGCCCTCAGCAGTGAATATAAAACCTATAGATAAAATCCTAATTAAAGCTATAAACCACTGTGGTCCATGGTATAATCTATACTCTACTATGATGGTCTTGTCGATTTTAAGGCCAGTCCTTTAGAGCCAGGGGAGTGCTTCTTTATTTTTTTGAGAAATGGGCACCTTAAACTTTTCACCTTAATCTGGGTCTATCCGTTCATGCTGCTACTTAGTATTTATAGGTTTGTGGGGTTTGTTTGCTTTTTTTTGTTTGTTTTATTGTGGGGGTTTTTTTTGTTTGTTTTTTTTGTAGGAACCAGTCTTCACTAGTGTTACTGGATCACTCAGTCTCTCTAAAGCTATGATGAGACTTATGATGCTTCATGGTCTGATTCCTCAAGATTACTTTCTTATCAGTCAGTCCCAGACCACTGGATGAGAGAATCGTAAGTTTTTTATATGTATCTCCAGTGAAAAACAGTGTTTCCCTCTAAAAATTAAATGCTAAAATGTGTTATTTTTAATTCTTTTAAATCCCATTCTTGTTTTACTTTTTTGTAGAGCCTGGTAATCAGAAAACTTTATTTAAATTCATTAAAGAAAATTTTTTTTTCAACGTTTATTTATTTTTGGGACAGAGAGAGACAGAGCATGAACGGGGGAGGGGCAGAGAGAGAGAGGGAGACACAGAATCTGAAACAGGCTCCAGGCTCCGAGCCATCAGCCCAGAGCCCGATGCGGGGCTCGAACTCATGGACTGCGAGATCGTGACCTGGCTGAAGTCGGACACTTAACCGACTGCGCCACCCAGGCGCCCCATCATTAAAGAAATTTTTAAAAATCTTTCATAAAATTTATCAGAGTGTATTTTAGTGATTTGGTTTTAAATGGAATGAGATGCAGTCCTGATATTTTTAAGATTAAAAATTTTGAGGAAAAACTGATAAAAAATTGGGACTATCATGTGAAAAAGCAAAGTATACACTGAATATTATATTCATTTCCTCTAAAATATTTTATTCTGCTAAATAACAAAATTGCCTTCTAATATAAAAGTATACAAACATACATTTTTTTATTTAAAATAATTTTTCTTTAAAAATAGTAATTTTGATCTGTACTTATTTGATTAAGGAGAGTGCTAATCTGTGAAAAACCATAAAATGAAATTTTTATTTTAATTTAAGTAAAAATTAACTGTTCTATACAGGACTTTGCGATATTGTGATAAACTGTTTACACAGCCACCAATTAAAATCTGAGAAGATCATAAATAGTAGCAAGCGTACATATATTACTTGGAAAAATTCCTTACACCCTACACCCTACCAATCCAATTAAAAAAAAATCATAAATGTATTTGCAACAACATAAGGAGCCTGTTAAAGACTAAGTAAGTATTTGGCAATAAATGATTATTAACGGTATTTACTTTTAAATGAAATATTTAAATGAGTCTTACCATATCTTCATTAGTGCCTTTTACTTTGTACATCACCCAAGTTTTTCCATCATTACTATAGGCAATTTTGTAGGATTTTATATACTCTGGACTTCCAATCCTCTTGGCTCCTTGGGTAATAACACCCGTAACTCTCATTTTTCTTTGTAAATTTATCTGAGGAGACAAGACATAACAGTAATTTCATTTCTTTTAAGATGACAATATTGACAATATCAATTTTGGGAATGGGACATTTTCATTTATTAGTATAGATTTAAAATAGCACAAAAAGCTAATAATTTTCTTATTTTTTTCACCTGATTATTAAGTATATGTCAACCTCAGTTTCAAAATCTTTCCTTAACAGAATACATTTTTTTAAGTAAGCAATATTTGTGAATAAAGTTTGAAAAGGGCAATGTGTCTCCAAAATATAAGAAACATTTGCTTGGTTATGATATGGAGGTATGATTTTGTAAACTAAAAAATGGAAATATTATCTTGTCAAAATTACCTCAGTGACATTACTCTGAAACAGTAATGTCACCATAATTTTAATGTGTCTCAAATTCTTTCAGCTTCAACAAATCCATGTAAAATAAAACACGAAAACTGTCAGGAGATCTTTGAATACTAGAATAAAAAAAGGGTAAAGGTAACAGTAAAGATAAAAAACAAACAAATAAAAAAAAAACAAACAGAATTATCTTCATTTTCAGGATCCTTATAGTGTAGTCTCTGCTATGTGTTACGGATGGTTTTTCAACACATAGTTGCTTTCCTCTTCATTTCATCTTATAGAGACTTTCTCATTTTTTTATGATTTGATTTTAGAAAGAGTAAATATGCAAGAAGGGGAGAGGGGTGGGAGGGAGGAGAGAGAGAGACAGAGAGAGAGAGAGAGAGAGAATCTGAAGTAGGCTCAGCACAGAGCCCTATGTGGGGGTAGATTCCACAACCCTGGGATCATGACCTGAGCTGAAATCAATAATCTGATCCTCAACCAACTGAGCTATCCAGGCACACCATTATGAAGGCTTTCTACCTGGAATTTTCTCTCCGTATTTTCTCCTAATTCCAAATCACCTTAGAATAGTTTGCTGCAAAAGTAACAGTCATCTAATAAAAATTTTAATATTGTTTTCAAATTTAAATAGGGAACTCCTTTTGACATTCAATGTATAAATAAATGCTAGACAAAGGTAAGAAAAGTTTTTACATACAGGGCAAACATTAAGAATTGTTCCATTCACTTTAAAATGCCCTTATGATGTCTATAAAATCTTACAGTCAGTAGAAAGGTACTGCCTCACTGTTCTTGAGGGAATGCTATAAACTCTCTTCTCACCAATCACATTATCCTATAATATTGAGTTAATAATTCAGATCCCATTTTCCAAAGAAAAACAGAAAATCTTCAGATTCATGTAAGTGACCAGGGTTTGTCACCCTCTGATGAGACTAAGAGTTAACATTTGAAATGGTAGAGGATGTGCACAAGGAAACCAGCTCCTCTTTAAATCACTACACACACACACACACACACACACACACACACACA